ACTAACCTAAACTATGGAAGCAAATAGCCCACTAGTGTAAACAGGTGGTGCTGGTGTTGGGCCTGCCTAGGAGGGATGTCTTCTCTCAAGTCGCATACTGACTGAATTAACTCACAGAGTGAGGGCTTCCAGAAGCGCAGCACTATACAAACTGAGTCACATCTGCGTGCAGCTTTTCACAAATTAATTCCATTATTCTCAGGTCAATAGCAGATCAATTGTTTTTACCCTTGGTCCTTATTTCCTAGGACTGTCACTGTATATGATCTTCACCCCACAATTATTGTTTTCAAAAGAAATCTTGTTGGAACATTTTGGGGAAATATTTTTCAAAATCATCTTTAACTTTGTTTGTTTGTAACTTATTTTTGGGGTGCTGGATTATTTACAGAATATCAGCATTTGTCTTATTAATGTGATATTTTCATATATGTTAATATCATAGTTATTGTCAATACCTACCCAATTGTTGTAAGCTCACACATGAAATTATTGTGAGCGAATGCAGTGCGCTTATGTTGAAGTAAACCACCGAGCCTGTTTACATCATTCTCACTAACTGCCTTTTGTTGCATATGAGCACAAGGATTATCAGTGTGGGATGTGTGCAGCGTGTTTGTTTGTGTGTGAATGAATTGTATGAATGTGTATGTGCTGGTGCATGTGATGTATGACTCAGTGGGTGTCCTGGGTTTGCTGATGGTGTTTACCCAAGCTGCAGCGTGGTTGGCGTTTCTCCACTAATCCAGCCTCTCTTGAGCAGCTCTTTATACCAACCACTCAGTCTTTCCCATGCAGTCTGCTATTATATCATATAGGGAAGATGAAGAAAAAAGCAGGTACACGAAGTCTGTGTGCACTCATTTTGCATCTCAGATACAGAAATAAACCTTTCACTGAGAGGCGTTATGCAAATTCTCTTGCAACAACCGAATGTCATGCACCGTCTAGCTCTTTCCTGCCCTTGTTTTGTCTCCCTCGTTTCTTATCATTCGTTGTGTCTTTCTTTTTCCCCCTTTCTGTCTCACATTCCCCCCATCTCTCTGCAGTTCTGCACTGCTGACGTCAGCAGCAGGAAGCCCTCTGTAGCTCTGAGTGCCACAAATAGACACAGGCTGATAAAAAAGCACCACTCTCCTATAAATAGCCCTGCATGTCTTTGCTTGAATTTGATCAAATGGGAAGAGAGCACTGTGAGAGAGCAAGAGAAACGGTGAGAGAGCACATGGCAAAAGTATAGGAGGGGGAGAATGAAAGGGTGAAGGGGTAGGAGGATGCAAAGACCCACAGTGCTGCCCGGGGACCTGCCATCTGTCACTCATTCTGACACACTTCCCGGCTCAGATGAAGGGCTTTGTGCTGCTCCGCTCTGCTGCTCTGATATCACACCAGCCCATCAGCAGCTGCACACAGTTCACCCCCATTGCTGAGATTCTTTTTCTCTTTCGGCTTTTCATTTGGTGCAGAGCAGGAAAGGTAGTTTGCCATCTGAAAGTTTGATGGTCATTGTTTTGAATCAGCAAATATACGCAAACCGACTGCATGGAAACAAAATACATGTGTAGTTGCCTTTAATTGTCATAACCCTTACCCCAAAATGACATCTGTCCTTGATTTCTTAAGCTATTGTTGTGCGAGATGAGAGAGTTTTCTTTTTTAGATAGCAAAAAAAACACTGCCATAATTTGTCTCTTTTTATAGTCTTCTGTTGAGCAATTGCCATCATAATTGTCAAAGAAGTCAAAATCAAACAACATTGAGTGAAAAGTTTCGCTTTGTGAATAGTTCTCTCAAGTTTGGCCATCTG